AAACAAAAATATAAACTTTCAAAAATATCCATCATTTAATATATTGAAAAGAGAAGGGATATGAATTAATTATAAAGAGAGACAGGATAAAATTAAAATTGATGCATTTAATGAAATATTAATCTGTAGAAAGTATTTTATATTTTGGGATGGAGAAACTCCTTTAAAAGTGCCTTATAATTTGAGACAGAAGGAATATTTTGTTGATAGAATTTGAATTTGAGACTTATGAGTTAAACCTTAGACTCCTATGGATATATTTTGGTAAATCTAAAAATATAAGTTATTTTGTTAATGTTTAGCTGATTATTAGAGATGAAAAATAGATTATTATAGTTATAGAATGATGATTCTAGGCTTGAGACTAAGTTTATAATTTTTTTAATATTTTTAGGTGTAATTTGTGAAATAAAAAAGAAAATTTTGATAATAGAAATTAATTTAGAGGTTGATTTTAGCTTATTGTTGTTTATTGATGATTAAAAGAGGAGTTATAATTTTATTTGAGAGTACTAATTCTAAATTTGTATTTATAATGGGATTAAAAATTATATTATACTTCCTAACTCTATGATTAGAGTTATTTTATTGGTTTCAATAATTGAAACTAATAGTTATAAATATATATTATGTTTAAATTATGTTGTTTGGTAAAGGTTGTAGTGGAAAGAAGTTGTAATGAATAATTTATTGATAAAATTATGAGGTAATCATACTTTAATTTGTAATTAATGTTACCTACCATTATTGTGTGATTATTGAGAAAATCTGTAAATTATTGTTGATAAATTATTTTTGTTATGTTGTGAAAAGTTTGTAGAATTGTGAACATGCATTTTTGAAATGTTTTTGTCAAGCGAGTGTTATGTTTTATATTGTTGAAAATTAGAAGATTGTAATGTTGTATATTTGTACATTGTTGATATGTAATTATTCAACTTTTATATGAGGTATTGGAAGACTTTGTTGTTGTTGTATTTTGTACCACGTGGTACGTGGGCTACAACTCGAGATTAATGAAAAAAAAGATAAGAATAGTTATTTGTCATACATTATAATATCTATTGTATTTTGTTGGAACGATATTATTATTGTTTTCCCATTTAGCAAGCACACTTATAACTGTTTGCATACATTATCATAAGTTGACATTAATTATTAAGACTTTTATTGTATTTTTGTTGGAACGATATTATTATTGTTTTCCCATTTAGCAAGCACACTTATAACTGTTTGCATACATTATCATAAGTTGACATTAATTATTAAGACTTTTAAGTCTCATTATGTGGTTAAAAATTTTTAAGAGAGGAGCCATAAGTGACGCATGCTGGAGCCCTTGAGGCTTAGTGGTGAAATTTACTGTTTCTTTTGGATATTTTTAATTTATGACTTTTAATGATGTTAGCCAATGCTATGGTTTTTGTTTATTATTATTGTGTGAATGTAATGATATGATCATGCCCTTCAAATTATTTCTTTTTTTACACTTTAAATTACTGTAACTTTAATGTCTTGCTTATTTTAAATGGTTTGAAATGACACATGATTATAAGGTCATATAAACTAACTGTTTTTGAAAATAATTTAGTTGTCTATTTTAGTTACTGATTTATGGTTTGCACTTGCTGAACGCATAAAGTTAAAAAAAATGAAATTTTGGACTAATGGCATGTGGGAGATTAAAATTTATTTGAGATGTTGCATTGTATAAGCCTAAGCCAATTTTTAGATTTTTTATATTGTATTTATTGATATAAATTTTTACCGAATGGCTATAACCCAACTATAGTTGTTGATGTATATTAGTAGTACCAAACATTGTTTTGTGTTATTTGGAAAGGTTTATAGATGGTTATAAGATTTTAAAATGCACAATTCTTTTTATCTTTTTATTCTATTTTGTTTATCATGTTCTCAATTTTAAAGGCATTTTTTGAATCTTTCACACTTATTTTATATTTTTTTAAATGCTTGGGATTTTTAGTTTTGGAAATGACAATTTAAGAAGTTTAAATTTTATTTATCATAATAACATTTATTTATTTAGTTTAATCTTTTCTACCGTAGTAGTATTTTAAAAAATAAAATATTTTATAAAATTATGTTTTATCATTTTTATCACAATAACGTTTTAAGTTACATAATTATTTCAAAAGAAAAATAAAATTAATTGATTTTTGTTTATCATAGTAAAGACTTTTTTATCATAATTGAGTTAATTATTTAAAAAAAATTAGAATGTTAAATATTTTGTAAAAATCATCATCCGGGTGCTATGTGTTACAGCACCTAGAAATTGGACTATACTTGGATGCCTTAAATTTTTGAAGTAGCGCAACATGAGTGGCATACCGTAATGCAACACGGAAGTTGTCTAAAATTTTATTCAATACAAAATATGGAAGAAGAAAAGAACGAGTGATGCTAAATAGGAGGATATGTTTGGAGAACCCAAGGTTAGACGAAACATAAACTACATGAAGAGATCTTGAGAGGAGTAAAACAGTCGAGATCCATCTGAAGTTTAAAAGCCTTTGGATGAGAGATCAGAATAGAAAACACAAAAAGGAAAACTTTAGGGGATATAATGTAAATGGAAAAAATGAGAGGAACAGAGAAAAACCCGTTGATTAGGATGACACAAAGGAATACAACCTTAAACAGAGGAGAGGGAACAGAAGGATCTTAGAAATCGAAACTGGTAGGGAGAAGAAAATAATAACTCCAAGAATAAGAAATGGAAGAATGAAAGAGAGAAGCCCACTTCTGAAGAGGAAACGGATGAACACGATCTGGCTTCCTTGAAGAGCGGACAAATTCGGAAATTACATTTTGAAAAAGGGAGCTTTTCTTTGCCGTTCCCACACGAATGACATGAAGATTTGATTCGGAGACTCATATATTAAAAGAAAATGGACCAATGAGATAGTGGTATTTACTGATAACCAAAGTTGTTATGAGAGATAAGGAATTTGTGGCCAATCAGAGTGATTCTACGAGTTTTGTATAAATAATAAGTTGATTGATTGATTTATGTTTGGACATATTTTTTAAAAAGATATTTTAGTAAACTGAAATTAATCATTTGCATGATATATCATGAAAAGTACTTTTAAATGCATAATTACTTAAGTGTTTTATGACATGTAATTGTTTTATATTAAACTTATTTTTTTTATAAAAATCTAAATAATATAAAATTTGATATTGTGAACAATATATAATAAGAATTTATATATATTAGAAATTAAATTATTTTCATGATAAAAATCAAATCATTTTTTTAAATGGTAATTTCCAAACATTTGCACCCAAGAAAAAAGCATTTGCTAAGAATTAAATGAATACCTAGGGCTTTAAAGTCAGATGTCCAATTTTGTCCACTAGCAAAGTCAAAGTCCATTTGATTAAAGCTAAGAGAAATTTTGTGTTACATTGGTTAAATGGACTTTCAAGACATTTCGAATATACTTTTGATTTGAAAACATTTTATTCAAATAATATTTCATTGTTTGAAAGTGGAAAAGCACTTTTTTAATGATATAAAGAGGCACAAACCAAACCTGCCCTTAGACGTGTAAGTGGGCTTAACGCACTTTGAGGTGAAAAATGTATCGACTCAACCACGAAAGCCTATATGCAATTCAAACACTCGAGATTAACAATATCATTCAAATTGAGTCGAATCCTCAAAGATTTGCTATTGGACCTCACTGACAATTTTGAACGAAATCAAAAAAGTATTAGTAAGTATTCATTGCAAACGTTAAGGCCCACAAGTTACGCAGTTTCAAAAGCCATGGATTTAATGGAAAGATTCCTGGGTCAACGGCAATAGGTATCGATATAGTTGAACGAAAGGACCTGGGCGGCGAGAGGAACAATAAACTGGAGCCTAACATGAGACTCACGTCTCTTGCATCTCCCGCAACCCTCTATCCTTACTTGAGCGGTCACTTAAAAAATGATAAGATTAATAACCATGGGGTCACACATATCCATAATCACCACTCAATTTAAGATTTAACAAGCGTGTGTATACTCTACGCCTCCAATGGTCCCAACTAGTCTAGAATAATAACGGGGGTTTTTAATTAAATTTGAAGGGAAATGAATACAAAACACATAAAATATACATAAACAATTAGTTATATTCAAATATGCAGAACTTGCTTGATAGACCATTCTCATATTTTAACTATCTCTTTCAAAATTGATAAAAAATGATGGATAAAAAGAAATGGAGAGAACTCAAACCCCTAGAAGAGCACAAAACTATATCCTTTCTGCTTGCTTGCAGCACCCTTTCGTTTTAAACTCGGATAAATAGATCAAAGAGGCTCCTAATGGAACGGGTAAAAACTACCTAGCAATAAAAAGAATTTTCCAAAAGTAGAAAAGAGAACCATTTTGAAGAATAAAGTGGCGAGGCCCGCATTATGGTTTTTACAGACAAGGGAAAGCCTAGCTAAGTAGCTTCGTTCTCCACTTCAAATACAGCCACTTGTCACTTATTTGGGTTGGTTGGGAACCTCATGACAGTCGTAAACCTCATGTTAATCATAGGTATTTGGGAAATACAAAAGTCTTGTTAATCTAGTGACCTCCTTCCAATTTTAAGTGACTATTGGTTAAAATAAGCTCTCTTTTTAAACTTTTCCTCATCACAAATGATGCTTTGATTGAAAGTCTAGTATCACCCAAAAAAAAAAAAAACTACCCACAAAAGATTTTTACTAATAAGAAACTGTGTTGAATGTAATGAAGTGGGGCTGCTAGAAACGTTAGCTTGGAAAGCCTTATAAGTGAAGTATGATTTGTATGTTTAATAAACTTTTCCATCTAACAAATTAATCTTTCAAAATAAATTCTTCTTTTGAACTTACACTCATGACATACATCACTAACCTTGAAAGAAATAACCATTCCGCGTACCAATCCAATTGAAAAAGGAAGAAGCAAAAAGAGAAGAATATGAAGAAGATGGCTCAAATGGATCACTTTGCAAGTACGAATCATCATAAATTGAGTAAGAGGTCGTCAATTGAAGAAAGGTCGTTTACAACGACAAACATTAGACAATGCCCCACCACACTGCGAATATTAAGTTACAACACAACTACAAAATATATTTTTTCTGTAGTTTACAGAGGGTATACACAATAATGACATCAGTAAATCAATTGCTAAAGCTAAGAAAGTTTCTTTTCTTTCTTGTCCTGCCATTCCTTGATCTCAGCTCCTATTTTTGCCTTCACCCTTTTATGAAACCCTGGGTAGGGCTCATATTTAAAAAGTGATTGGAAGACCTGTAACAGTGAATAACAGTAAATCCACTTTGTTGATTCCTCTCACAGATCAAAAGGATTGATTTGAAAGATTTCGACAAACAAATACCTCGAGCAACACAAAGAAAGGGGCCATTAGAAAGCTTGAGTAAGATTGTCCAAGAGAGCCGGTGCACGTTTCTAACATAAAAATGATCGAAAAATGTTAACATAATTGCAGTCTGCAAGCCCTGAATCAAGCTTTATTAGCAATAAAACAAGTCATCACCTCAAACACGCCATGACCAACAAACTGTCCGGTCCAACAAAACAGCTGAGATGCAAGCACAACCTGAAAGATAGATATCAGGTATGGAGTCACAATTTTGTTCAAAGGAAAGAACAGCTTTCACTATGCCACTTGTTTATCTTCGGGAGGCTGTTATTCCCTTAACTTTATGAAAACGAAAGAAAATGCCTCAACATTGAAGAAATGAATGCTCAACAATCACTTGATATGATAGTTCTAGCCCCGTGCCTTTCATTCTCGGATACAGGTGTGTAGTGTAGCCTTAAAAAAAACTAGTGAGTAGTAGTCATTGATCTCTATGGAAAACAACCACAGTGGTTTTCAGCAATTGCAATTCTTATTGTACAAGGACAAACAGGGTAGTAGGCTCTTGCTTTTAGTTCTCTCAGTTAAAAATAATGCACGATATCATGGAAGTTAAAGAGCTACTGACAATAGTTCTTCTTTTCTTATCACTCTTGTATCACTTCTCACTTTTCCATTTTTCTATAGCAAGCAAAAGAATTGCCAATATTCAACCATTCTTGTTGAAGTAAACAATGGCTCAGATCTCAACATTGTCATAGGTAACTACAAACTAGGATGAAGTAGAGAAATCATTACATGAAGGCTCAAGCAATTAATCTCTAGAGATCTCCGCGGCGAAATAACAACCACCAGTTTAGTCACTTTGTCATCAATGAAAATTCTTGTAACTCGATGGAGTCTTATGAGAGAATAAATTAACAAGATGACAGAACGAATTCAAATTTATCATAAATCTGTGCTCATTCTTACTATTCCCGCCCTTAAGATGCTATTGCACAATACATCCTAGTCATAAATGAATATAAGGAAAGGAAAGGAAAGCAGCAAATTAGAAATTAGGAAGGCAACATGTGATGAATATTTAGTGATAAATGAATAAATCCTCAGCTATGCAATCTACACAATAAATCCAGATTTAGTTCAAACATAGGGAGCGTAAGGGTTTTAGTTTGATCTGCTAAAAGCAAAAATAATACAGCTAGGAAATAAGATGTTGTAGAAACACAATTCCAACTATATAAGGAAAAAAAGAGATTAACTGTTGAAGAATAGAGGGGGGTAAGCATTAGACAAAAGGAGAGAATACAAGGGTGAAGTTAACAGTCAAGATGTCTTGTTTACCGGACACCACAGAAAAGATTAGTCATCGAAAAGGCGGAAAATAGACGCCAGAAATATTTGGTTATTTGAAAAAAGAGAGTAGGAACTCCAGTCAAAAAAATAAGAGAGTAGGAACCAATCCATCTTGCCCTTTCAGAGCCATCACCCATGTCTCTCTGAAAGCTTGTTGCCAAATGCATGTTAAGTTTCAAAAACCTCATAAAAGCAAAATTGGTGCAAGCAACTAGAAAGATTTTGGCAGCGATTCACTCAAAAACTAGCATAATAAGGAAAACATGGAGAAACATTACCTAGGTGTGAGTAATATGCTCAATGAAGTATATACGTAAAGAAAGATAGAGGAGAACGAAAGCGATAGATGGGTTGAATCAAGTTATGGGACCGTGAGCTGTTGTAATGTCTAAAGCTAATCAGCTTATAAGATTTTATGCATAACGATCACAAATTCATGAATATCAAGTAATCAACGAAATGAAAGAACAATTAAGCCAAAGGGTTGACTTCACAAGCTTCACAAGAAAGGTCCGAAGGAAAGACTTGCTTCCAGTACTCACTACAAGGTAGCAACTAAAGCCGTATCAAGTATTATTGCTATCAAACATAGCCATCATCCACGGGATGACAGGAAAAATAATCAATGATTCGTCTGAACAGAAGATTATAAAGCAAAACTGATGTGACAAGACTCACAACCAATAATTCCAAGCAAAATCTGTCGTTTTACAGTATTTGCCAGGCACTAACATAAGGGTGTATAAAGCATAGACTTTACTGGGGTAAAAAGGTAATCCATACCTTCCACGCGAGAGAAAAGCCGAGCCTTTGAGCAAGAATGCTAGATCCCACCCAACAGAACAAACAGATCAAAGCCGCAAAAGAGCCGGCTTTGTAATCCAAGGAGACGTAGAAGAAGGCATAGACAGCAGCAAGCAAGAACCCGTAATTAAAGACGAGGCCATAACCGAGCACTAGTTCAGGGGCTTTGAAAAGGGGAGGCGTGAAGTACAGAAAAACCAGGGAAGTGAAGAAGATTGGCCATACAAACAAGGTGTGGATGGCAATATTAATTGGATTGCTGTGGTATGCACCATAGAAGGCAAAGTGCTTCTCCAGATCGAACAATCCAATCCTCCCCATTGGGTTAGATGAAAATCTTGCAGACTTCACTAACCAAAAAAAAAAAAAATCTTACAGGGACAGGTGAGTGGGGAGAAATTGATTCCCGGAGAAAAATTCAATGACCTTATAAAGCCGTTGGGCGGTGGAAATCCCGCGTGCGACGCCTAAATAATTGTAGTTTCATGTACTCCACGCTCGCGCGTCATAAACAAGACGATTGGCGGCCGATAATACGTCAGCTTTGTTCAATCCTACCCATGAGGATATGGCCGAAAAGAAATCCAAGAGATCATGTACATAGTAACTTGTGGCTAGTGGGACCATGGAATGAATTGTTAATTAGGGTTCATAATGCTGCCATTTGCATAAATACATCAATTAATGATCCATTCTCTTTTTATGTTTTCCGTTCGATTTTGAAGACATTATGACAGTATTTACAGATTATTAATATAAAATAAAATATAAATAAAATATGATTATAATTATAATTGACATAATATGTAATGTAATAGTATTATTATTATTATTATTATTATTATGATAAAAGAATGGAAAGTAGCCAATGGGCTGATGATTTGAATGGAGCAAATCTGTGAGGTGTTGTAAGGGGCCGATTCATGAGGCCTTTTACCGGTGTCCATTTTGGTCGAGACCAAAAAAAAAATTAAGGTTGTCAGGCTAGTTTGTTTGAGCCTGTTTAAGTGTAGGATAATGTTTGCATTTTAAGTTCATCAATGCTTAAATGGGTCGACTTTAATGGGTTCAAGATTAAAGGAGTCAGCCCTCTGTGGCTGAGGATCAACCTGTTTTAAGTTTGTTTATATTCCTTTATATGAAAAATTTATTAATATTGAGTAAGATTTAAATATGAAAAAATATTTTAAAAAAAATCCAAGCCCAAATGAAAATCTTCATATTTTTGCCACAAAAAAGCTAACTCATAATGAAGTACAACCAAATGTTATTGATATTAAAGATCATAGTGACAATGATCATTATTATGATACTTTTAATAATTCTTGTGTTATTGTTTTATTAATATTTAGAGAAGACTTGTTTAATTTATTTAGCTTTATTTGGTTTGATTTTGGGTATCTCAACAAGAGAAATTTTTAAATAGATCGAGTGTACCATGTCATTTGTGATCTATTTAATTAAAATGTCTCAATTTATCTAAATAAAATCTTATATGTCATTATTTTAATGATTTTATTCTTATAACAAATTTAATTTCTTGCATTTTCTTTCTTTATTATCATTAATATCAGAATTAAAATATATTTAATGTCATTTGAATGTTATATTTTTATTAGATAAATCATAAATAATGTGACATACTTGGTCTATTTAATAATTTCCCTTTGTACAATTATTTTGTATTTTAATGTATTGATATTTAATATTTTTATCTAATTTATTTTATTTTCATAAATTTAATTCAAAGAAAAAATTTAAAAAATTAAAAGGACTTAAAACTCGTAGGGTTAGTCCACAAGCTCTATGACCTAGCTCTACAAATCAAGGTTTTAGAGTGAATACGAGCTTTTCAAGCCCAACCTTTTTTGGCTCAAGCCCGTTAAGGGCTAACCTGTAACAATCTAAATTTGCACACCAATCTTTCATGAAAATGCAATTTAATATTTAAATCTTAACTATTAAGACACTTACCATAATAGAAAAGTGTTTACAATGATAATAAAGAGTAAAATCAATATTTTTTCTTTTTTTTCAAAATACTACCATGGTATATAATGGTTAACCATGGTAGAAAGAACTTTCGATATTATTTTCAAAACCTATAATAGTAGAGAAGGAACTACCATAGTAATTAACAGTCCAATCATTTTGAGAAGTTTATCATGTTGGAAAGAACTTTTCTTACAATGAAATAGTTCACAAAACAAACTATCATGATGGAAAATGATGGGAAAATAGAGATGAAGAACTACTGGAGGAAATTTATATCATTTAAATACTAGTTGTTGTCATATCTAATGAAAAAAGCCCGAACGAACTGTTGTTAATTTAGAATAAATTGTTATTAAAACCTGAATAGATAGTTATTTATAAAAGACTAACTTGAATCGATAAATATCTATTCGAGTTTTGATAACAAGTAATTTTTGAATGATTTAAATTTCCACCAGTAGTCCTTAATTGATATTTTTCCAAAAATGATCTATCATGATAGAAAAGGTTGATACATGAGAAAATAAACTTGCCATGGTAATTTTGGAAATAAATATTTTAAATAATTAATTATTAATGAAATCAGTATCAATTAAGGATATCTAATGGGATCCCATTAAATGTCACAAATTAAGAAACAATAGAATAACAACAAGAGTATTTATATGTGAAACATGGTTTCTAATGGCTAATTTGTCCAAAAATAACTTTTAAAGAAAGGTAACATAGTAAAAGGACTAATATGAAAAATCTATTTTAAAACAAGGGCATTTTTAGAAACTTGGGCATGTCCAATGTGACTCACAATGGGACCCACTGTGGTGGATTAAATAGAGGGCTTGGCCCTCATTAATGGCCATGCATCGCGGCCAAAGTGTCCTGTATTGTGACATATTAACAATAGTGACAGTAATTTAATAGCATCCAAACTTTAAACTTACCTAACTCTTTACACATAACTTCAATTTAAATGATTCAGGTATCCACACAAAATTTATTTTAAAATTTAGCTAATGACTTGAATTTGGTACAAAAATTCTTCCAAATGAAAATTTTATTCCCAAAAACTTGTTTTGAGCAAAACACTATTTCCAAGCACCAAACATGTTTCTAAACCCAAGCCAAAGCTTCAAACCATAGTATGGGACACTTAATTGACTCACACACATTTCAAACAATAACTTTTTAATATTAAACTAACATATGCATATTCAACTCTTATAGTTAGGTTACAACTACCTAACACAGTTATATATAAGAAGTATAATATTATAAGCAATCCAAGATATCTTCCATTCTAATTACTTGATATTTATAAATCATAACTTGAAAGACTAGGAATGTCATAAAAACTAATTTTTAGCAACTAATTACAAGTTTGCAAAAACATAGAGTCACATGCTCATAAGTACCAAAACAACGCCTTATGTTTGGCAAGTACACATATATCTAAATAAAAAATGGCCGACATGACTGAGTGGTGTTTACTTACACCAAGTATGCTTCCAGTGCTTCTTCAACTAAACTATTTTTGATAAAAATGTTAATTAAAAGGAGGGAGACACAAAGATCTTAGTAACCAAAATTATGCAAAGATGCATGTGATGTAACTAGTCATGTGTTTGCTAAGTGGACATATCAAACATTTCTAAAAAAGTATTTCCAAACAATCTTGACAATTTTTAAGTCACATGACTACACCTTATATCCCTTCATACTACATGCCTGAAAGTCAAATCACCCAACCACAAGTGAGTTGGATCAAACTACAAGCTACTCATTAGGCTCAATGAGAGCTTACTATGTAGTAATAATTTTCTAGACAAAATCCCAACAACTCAATATTTCAAACAACTGACAAGTTATGCTTATTTTCAAAATCGGACAAAAATATAATTGAACAATTTATCATTCTTCTAAACAATAGTTTATATCAACATAGTATTCATATTCAATTTCAAAACCCACTCGGTAAATAGGTTTCTGAACAAAAACATATTATTTTCAAACAATGTTAATATTCCAAACAACAAAATTTCACACAACCAATTACACACACACACCCTATCACATATTAATAGTGATTACCTTACTTCCTGCTAACAAAGCTCCCTACATAAGATCACTTTCACTTTCTTCAATGTCTCTACTATAATCTAGATATAATGCAATGCTAACAATGTTAATGAGATACTAATTAACACTCATTATAGTGTTAACACACTAATCAAACCCTAATCCTAAAAGTAAGTTAATTAACTTTATTAATCCAAATATGTTATAACTACTTAAACCCTTATGCTTACTCAAATCCATCATCACTATACTTCATAAACACTTATTTCACCTTTACATAACTCAAATCATCATTAAATTCACCTAACAATGCCTAGAGTTTCAAATTTGACACCCACATTATCATAAACAATATCAAAACAATTTAAACTATACTTATTTATCCTTAAAACAACCATTTTATTCAAACTTAAGGGTTAAGTCATTCAAAAATTAGAACCATAACCTCATAAACCATATAAAAAAGCTAAATAAGAGGAGTATGAGCTAGAAATGAGATTAGATAGCTTGTCTTAAGTGATTTGAGTCCAAAAAATATGCCCTAGACTTAGGAACTTGGAAACCTTAGCAAACCTCTAAAAAATAGCACTCTAAATCCTCAAAGTTTTCCCTTTGCATTTTATTTTTGAACAAAAACTTTTATGTAGATTTTGCATCATCCACCCGTTGCAGATGGTGCAAAATTGCTGCACCTTACTTAAGCCTATAATCCAGGCTAGTCTGGTCCAATACCTATTTAGGATCCTATTTAACCCTATTATATCATTTTAAGCCAAATTTAAACCATAATTTGAAGTTTAATTATATGATTATCCTGAAATAACCTTAGTTAGAATTTATCCTTCGAAATTAAACCTCTAAGCATGATCAACCCAATTCATAATAACTCAAATAATACCTAGGTAATAAAAATAAATCCTTAATTAATTGTCCTCCAATAAAACCTCGATTCTCATAATTAATTTAATATTAAAAATTAAGATGTTGCACGACCCTTTAGAGCCGAGCTAGTCCGTTTTTCCAGCTCTAGGATGTGAGGCATGTGCAACTAGAAGCAATTAAATTTCTTACAAGCCAGGAATTATTTGGTTTAGTGGCATAAGCCTTTCACTTTGATACAAGGTGTTGTTAGTTCTATATCCCATAAGTTCAAAAATGGGTGGAGCTCAGGTTAGAGCGGAGTGTGTTGGTTAGTTAGTGGTGTTGTGTACTAGGTAGGCAAATAAGTGTTTCATATATGTTCCCTTCCTTTGAAAAGGTTAGCTGGGTTAGGAAAAAATTAAAAATTAAATTTCATATAAAAGAAATGAATGAATGGAAGGCAATCACAATGGAGACAAGCAATCCTATCCTTAAATAGTAGATATATGGAAAGACGGTAAAGCATTGACTACACTTTATAACCTTCCTTATTTTAGGATTGAAGTCTATGCCTGACATCCATCTCACCCGGTTAAAGGTAAGCTAATTCAAGCTACAAGTCACCCATTTAGTT